GCGTTGCCACTCACGCACGAACACGTGAAATTTGGCGTAATTCTGCAACCAGAGCAGATGGGATGCTGAAATTTTTTGAGTGCTACCCAGGACCGTGCTTGAGCAACTACGGGCGAAGAAAGCACTCACGTTGCCACTCACATACGAGCACGTGAAATTTGACGTAACCCTGCAACCAGAGTAGCTGGAGTGCTGGAACTTTCTGAGCGCTACCCTGGACCATGTTTGAGCAACTGCGGGCGAAGAATGCATTCACGTAGCCACTCACGTACGAACAAGTAAAATTTGACATAAATGTGCAACCGAAGCATCTAGAGCACTGGATCTTCTAGGCACGGATTGGGAGTCATTGTAATAATTTCTAACAGTTGTGGTGGCCAGTCCCAATTCTTTTAGGTAGAAGCATCTGCCAGGAAGAACGTGCCGCTGGCGAAAAAAACCTGCGGGGGGAACTGCGCAAAAACGCATCCTCGTACCGGCAGCCGGGTATCTTTTCTACTAGGTTCTTATCCCTCGTTGAATAATTTTTCGTCATATTTCCCCGTAATGCGTTTTTTTTTTTTTTTTTGTTTGGGTTTTTCGAAAACACATGGCAGACAACTGTAGCAACGCGAATCTTCTGTCTGATACTGTTGTGTCATTTGCTCACTTATTGGAGATTTTTTCTACAGGACAAATTCGAAGCACCGGAAGATGAGCACATTGAGATCGTGAAATATTCAGTACCCACTCCAGTTTCTTTATGTCGACCACTGATAAGTATTTTGGATCAAGTAAGACAAATTTTTGTGCATGCCGTGAAAACGCTTCTCAACTGAGACTAGCCATTTTGTTGCTAGCAAACAAGGAGTTGTCAAAGTTGATAATTTCAGATCGAGCATATGCTAGGAAAACGACTTTTTTTGCGACTTTAAGAGACATTGGCATCCTTAACGTGTATTTAATTTTTTGTAGGTTAGTTTCATGCAAGGTCTAGTGGTGCACAGGCGTGTCACCAAACGAATCCATGATCTTCTGGATGAACAGCTGTCTTATTTAGTCAACATGCTGACGGATGAAGAGAAGTGCGTTGTCATTTTTTGACTCAAAGCTTTCAGTGTACAGGCAGGATAACCTGTTATTGTTTTTACTGCATTAACAGGTGCTAGCAGCGGCTGACTGCTGAATTATGGTGTTTGTGGTGCTTCATTATAATAGCTGAATTAATAGGCTTGTTATCGATGTGGAGCTTGCTTCGCCCCTTCCCCAAGTTGTACTTTGGAGTTCCATACCTTGACAAATCCTTTATCCTTAATATTGTTTTACTTCAGCTATAGTTACTTTTCCAGAGAAATTCAGCGGCATACCTCTTATCTCAAAACTGGCACCCTTTCGTAGAACGGTTTTTTTTTAAAAACTATTTTGCTTAGAACTAGCGTCTCAGTATCATTTTTTTTTTTAACATTTCGAACCGATTGACAATATCCAGTTGTTTTTCTTTTCTCTTAAGTAAAATTTTGCACCGCTGTGCTTGGGCAGCCCTTTTTTGTAAGTGAAATTCATGCCAGTGCAATCAGCAGAACACGGATAACCCGGCCTGGAACGCCAAAGGCTTGTCGGTGCGATCATGTGCTTTTGTACCAGACTTAAAGCAATCAGATCGTTAACTGTGTGAATGAATGGTGCTTTACACTTACCTTGTACGCCCACTAGCATAAATCGTAATTTTTACAAGGAACCCAGGCTGGAACAGACCAGGCTTGCCGGTGCGATCATGCGTTTTTGCACCTAAACTCGAAGGTCGCTAATAGCAAGAATGATCTCTGCGCTGTAGCCTAAAATTTGGGCTCATATTGGCTGCGCTTTGGCCCGTTCCGGAATGCAGGAGGAAGGGCATCGGTTGAGATGAAGGTGGTGCATTATAGAGCCGTACGGACTTCCAGGTACGTGGTTACCAGCTTTCTGCATGAAGTCCGGTCGTTTTGTCGGTAAATGCTCGCTTTTTGAAAAAGTGAAAAATGCAAACTTCCAGTTTACTAAAAAGTGGAAGTATTGCTCAGGCGGTCGTTTGTCAAAAAATCCAAGTATGCAAATCAACTGAGCGTTCATTTACATATTTGGGAGCGAGAAGTCGTTCGCTACAAAGCGCACATGTTTCTGGTTTTTCGGTAAACTCGAGTGTTTCTCACGCCTTCCTGGGAGGGGATTTCATCTCCAAGCTGAATTAAGACCGCACTTGAAAGTAGAATATCCCAGTGAATTTTCAGCCTCACAGCTTGCCGTAAATGAAATATCCACTTCGCTACATAAACCTTCGATGTGCCTTAAGTCGTGGCGCAAGTGCAGATTGGCACTCATTTTAGGTATAATATTTCCCATATGGGAGACAGACATGCTAACATAACTTCAGCCACTGTTTTTTTGCAGCAATTTTTCGAGTTAGCGCAGTGCCAAGTTGCAAACTTTGACGTGACCGTACGCGCTTCACATGCATACTCGACAGCTGAATTTGAAATATACAAAGAGAATATCCCTGCAAAGTTTCAGCTTTGTACTTTGCCTGGTTCGCAAAGTCACTTCTTGCCAAAGAAATTTGCATATTTTTTGAGAGATCCGTACGCGGGTTTTAGACGCATGTGGAGGAAGATCTTCAAACGGGAGAGTGACACACGGGGTACGAAAATGCACCCGAAATTTCAGCCTCCCAGCTTTCCTGGTTGCTGAGGTGAAAGTGGGTGACAAAATGCACTCGCTTTCGAACACACACACAAATGACCTCTCGATAAAAATGATCTTTGCTGCTGCAGCAAAAACGCATAAAAAGAACAGCTTCCGTTAATGATCTATTATTGAAAACGATCTAGTTTTTCGCTAAGCAATTTTCCTGCCAGAACTCTTGTATGCCCTACGCGAGAACCACGCACGCTTGGAGACTGAATTTGAAATCCCAGTCTGTATTTAGACAAGAAACAATCGTTTAAAATTTCAGCATCTCTGGTCTTCGATTTGGCAATTTTCCCGCCAAAACTTTCACGCACGTGAGGGCGACGCTCACCAAGGGCTAGGTTTGAAATCTTTAAGTTGTACGTAGACGGGGATATCACTTTAAATTTTTAGCCGTTCAGCTTCTCTGGTTCCCAAATTAGAAACTTTCTCACCAAAACTTTTATATGCTCTCATACACGAGGCTCAGAAATATGTGAAAGCTGGTACCGCGTTTTGGGGTAGCGATTGGACAGGAAACCTATTAGGAAAATATTTCAGCGTCGAAGCTTGCTTGGTTGCTGAGTTAAAATATTTAGACAGACAGACAGACACATACATGCCATGGGCAGTCACGGTACGCGTTTTTGCATTTGCATACATGCGAAAACACATTAAAAAAACGAGTGGATGGTAGTGTTTTCCGAGGTTGAATGATTGCTGAGAAAAAGTGAGTTGAGAGCAAGGGATGGTAGAACAGGAATGAAACGCCAACGGAACTGAACTTGGCAAGTTGGTTTGGTTACGTAGCTTGCTTCTCTTGAACAACTAATTTTTCCACTGTAGAATTTTGTAATATGGCTACATAATACCGATTCGCTCGCATCCTGTGCAATACTGAAGGGCCGAATGCTTGAAACGTCTTATTTTCTTGTAGAGGGCCGTTTTTGTTTGTGGTGGCGGCCAAAAGTATCTAAAGTAACAAGTGGCTACGTTACTTTATCTAAAACTGCAAGGCCGTTAACATGGCGAAATAGTTCGATTATGCGAATTTTTTAACAAATTCAGACTAGTCGATTTTATTTTTTTCAGGATTTGAAATGCTGACAAATTCTAGTTGCAGATGCCGGGAAAAACTCAACGAATTGCCATGGAAAGTGAATTATGATGCTCTATCGCTTGCACGAGGCTTTGCGCTAACTCTGGATCCCTTTTTTCGAAGTTTGATGAGAGCTTGCATCAGATATGCTCTAAGTAAGCAGCCGTTTTGCAAATAAACTTGAGGGAGCAGTCGTTCTGCAAATGATACTGGTGTTTTTACATTTCATCATGCGCTGTTTGCTAGCAGTGAGTGAAAAAAAAAGTCTAGAATACCGCTTTCAGAACGGTTTATCGTAAAAGAGCAAGTGCAGATACCACCACATCTTGGCCGGTCTATGTTCGGTGTAATAGACGAAACAGGCATTCTTCAGTGCGGACAAATTTTTGTGCAGTATACAAACTGTGTTTGGCTGAGAGCGTCATTAGCTAATGCTTCCAGAACTGTTCTTACTGGTAAGGGTCTGTGCTGTCGATTCTAGTATCAGATGTTCATAAATTTTATTTGTTCAAGACAAAAACAGTCTGTCTAGTGTCATCTGATGTTTTTTTTTCACTTGCAGCCATTTCGGAAGGGATTGCCTTTTTATGCGTTTTTTGCATCTATGCAATGCAAAAACGCACACTGTCGAGGGGTTGTCTTTGTGTGTGTGTGTGTCTGTTTGTCTTTCTGTATGTCTGTATGCATGTATGTGTGTATGTATGTATGTGTGTCTGTGTGTGCGTCTGTGGCCAGTTTTCATCTCGAGATCTACAAAAGATACGAGGTTGAAGCTTCGGTACTTTAATCTATATATGTATATATATATATGTATATATATGTACATATATATATATATATATATATATATATATATATATATATAAGCTTCTGTCCTCAAAGTGGACACTCAGCTCTGCGTGGTTTTCATGTACGGGCACATGAAAGTTTTTTTGGCGGGGAAGCATTTTTGGGAATGGTGCAAGCTAGGAGGGATGGAACTTCACAGAGATGTTCCTTGGCCGCGTCTAATCCAAAGATTTCAAATTCAGTCTTCACGCGCTCCTAGGTCTCACGTATACACATGTTGAAGTCCAAACTGGCATCGTGCCAACTCCAGGTTTAAGCTGACCAAGAAGCTGTAGAGAGCTACAGTTTTGCAGCGTTACTTGTCGTCCACTGTTGTGTTTCTGAAAGTAAATTGAGCTTACCAGCTCCTTTGCATCTTACGTTACGGTCACGTGAAAATTTCACTCAGGCACTTTTTTAGCTTCAGAATTAAAGCAGCTGGAGAACTGGAACTTTCTGAGCATAACTTTCTGACGGGTGGTCTTTGACCAGATGGACACAAAACTACTTGCACATCACTTTCACGCCTCACGTACGTCGCACATACACGCAAGTGAAATTTGGCGTAACCTCGCAACAGCTAGAGCACTGAAACTTTCTGAGCGTTGACCAGGACCATGTTTGAGCAAATCGTACGCGAAGGAAGCGTCCACGGTGCAACTCACATACGAGTAGGTGGAATTTGATGTGACTCCGCAACCAAAACAGCTAGACTGCTGAATTTTTTGAAAATTTATTGGGGATCATTGAAATAATTTCTAACAGTCGTGGTGGCGACTCTCAATTCTCCTAGCTAGAAGCATCTGCTGAAAAAAACAGTACCATTAGCAATAAAAACTTGCGAGAAAACTGTGCAAAAAACGCATATTCGCACCCGCAACCGGTGCACTTTCTACTGAGTTTCTTGGTGCTCAGGGATTAAAGAACCGAAGCTCAAAGGGCGAAAAAGTTCGAAAATTGTTTTGAGGGGTGTCTTTTCAACTAAATTTTGCCGAGAGATAACTAACTTTATAAAGGTAGTAGAAATTTGTTATAGGGGATACCCACTTGGGTGTCAAATCAATTTTAGAGCGCAAATTGCATCTGAAAATAAAAAAAATAGACCCACGTATGTTAAAGAGTCCATACTGGAGCAAATCGAGGCAAGAATAAGGCGCATTTTTCTAGAGAAGATTACTAAAATTATTATGCCTATTTTCCTCTTTTTTTTGAGAACTGGTAGAGAACAGTTTATGATCCTAGACTGAAACGCTTATGTTGTTCTACTCCCAGAATTACAGTATTGGTTCCCTTTACGCGATATCGTTGTACCCCACAGATGAGCTTACGATTATTTTGCCCAGGCTGATTAGTCTGTTTTTGCTGGAAGTTAATCGTTTGTATTTTAAGGAAAAGTTATGCTAACTAAAAATCCCTGTATTGTTGCCGGAGATGTGCGAATTTTTGAAGCAGTCGATGTTCCTCAATTGCATCATCTTGTTGATGTTGTCGTTTTTCCGCAGCACGGACCGCGACCACACACTGACGAAATGGCTGGTTTGTTCTGTTTTCTGTCGCAAGTGTCACTGTTTTAATTTTTTTGATGTACGTCAGCCACACAACTGGCTCTGTATTTAATGTATTCTTTTTTATGTACATTAGTAAGGGGATTTTTTGTATTTACTTATGTTGAGGCTCCGATTTGGATGGTGACGAGTATTCCGTAATGTGGGACCAAGAACTAATGTTTGAGCACAATGAAGCGCCGTTGGATTTCCCAAAACCGAAAATTACTACGAAAAATGAAGTGGAAGAAGATCATGTGGTTTGTGGCTTTCTGTTTTCCTTTGGTTGTGTTGTGCTTTTCGCGACTGTAAGCTGTCGATGACGATCGTTTTGTTAGCGAAGCGTTTTTCGTTGCTGCTTGTGCTTTGACGATATTACTGTTTGCAAGTAGCAATAACGGCGCAGCAGTACTAATAAATAAAGTACAGTGAGTCTGTGTCTGCGCTAATTGTTATAAAAAAAAGACTACATACACACCTCACTCCTACTGCTTTTTTGGAGAAATTAGCATCATTTTGCAAGCACACGAATATGTTTTTTTCTTCGACTAGACTTTATAAATGTAATTCACTGGAAACTGTGAATTGCCAGCGAGATTTGATCTGCGAACAGTTTGTGATACAGCTTCAAGCACGAGGATTCGCGTGAGGTCACCTTTTTTCTCCATTTTGATGAGGTTGGATTCGCCCATGTGGAATGATAAATGCGAAAAGTTGTCAGAATTAACAAAAATAGATGGAATTCATAATGGAGACTGTATTTTTAATCAGCAAAATGTAAATTATAGCGAGGTAGGGTTGACTTTTTCCTGGAATAAGGCAGAAATCATTTACAAAATAGTACTCAATCGCAGAGGCGAAAACTATAATATGATCGAAGAAGAAACAAATTTATTTACTGCCAAAGCAAATAGAGAGAAAAACAGAGTCTGCCATTTTGGAAGAAGCGTCATTTTGGTCGTGAAATAACAGAACTAAAGTATCCTTAATAGAGGAAGGTATCCTTGACCTCATTTTGTCGAAAAAAATAGTTCTGTTAATTTTCATACTTACAAAATGGGACTATAAATAAAAATTTTTTCCAGGATTTGGAAATGAGAAAATTTTTCTCAACTTATGTTAAGCAGGACTCAATTGGCTCCATTTCGAACGCTTTCATGGTTAATGCTGATCTTTATGGCATTGATAGCGAGGTAAAATCCATTTAAGAATGCGTTTTTTAAACACATTTGAATTCACTTTTTGCTTGCATTTACTTCTCAGATATGGACACACTGAAGTTGAAATCACATAACTAGTGGTGCTTTTCCAAATGGGGAAACAGTCAAATTAAAAGGCGGAATTTTTTACGAAGTTCCAAGGTCGTGTATAAGATTGCAGCTACCACTGGCGCGGCAGCTGATAATACACTCATTAGTGGAAAAACTGTACTCGTTTGTGGGGTTGAGGAGCCTCATAATCATGTGCAAGTTCGTCGATATTTTGATTAATTGAGATTTTGGAACGAGAAAACAGCGGTGAAGCTGTTATAAAAGTCGTATGGCTGCCTTCTCGGTCCAAATGTCTTTTAAAGCGGCAGATCAGGAATGTTGGCATACTTGCGTAAGAAATCAACGCCGATAGCGACGCATTCAGGATTGCTAGTGCGATCATGTGCTTTTGCTTGTTTCCGTCCTGTGAAGAGATCGCCTCTACTGCTGGGGCCTGACCGTGGTATTTGCAGTTTCGACACTTGATGCGTCTGTACGCAAGGCCCTTACCTACACGAAAACGTCACATTACAGGTAATATGCTCCAGCCTGTACACGGTAGAGTGTATCAGCTACATATTCCAGAGAGGCTGGTTACTTGAATAGGTTACTGGTCGTTATTTGTATAGGTCGTCCACCCTCCCGCGCTGTAGCGCTTCCGCTTCGCTCTTCAGTTCGCGTTAGATCCAGCTGGGCTCGCCCCACCGGCTGTATTCCGTCCCCACCCTCCTTCAACTGTATTTCCCCACTCGCTGTACTCGTACCCCTTCCCCCCTCCCGGTTGCATCCGTACCTTCCCACTAGTTTTATCCCTGCCTCCCTCCTTTAATCCCTGCCGTATTAATATCACCCCCGTAGCTTCTATACTGCATATTTGGCAAGTGTTGGATGCTTTAAGTAATTAAACCCAGGCTGGAAAGCACCAGGCGGGCCGGTGCGGTCATGCGTTTTTGCACTTTTTGCGCCGTAGCAAGTTCGCAACAAATCACAGTAGCTAGCACTGTGACATACTGGCTGTCGAAGTCCGGGAATTTAATTGTGTAGCTATGTAGCAAGTCAGTTGTAGATGTCGACTTCAGTGACTCGACAAATGCAAAGCTGCTGGTCCGCGAAAAAGGCCGCACTAGAAGAATCAAATCTGAAATCTTTTAGTCGCACATGAGCAGGAAACATTCCCTTAAAATTAAAGCCTTCCAGCTCTTCTCGTTCCTGAGTTAGCAGTTTCCGTACGTGAGTACCGGACGGTTCTAAGGAGCTGAGTTTGAAAACTTTTGGTCGTACATGAATGGGGAACAATCCCCTAAAGTTTCAGCTTTCTAGCTTTTCTCGTTCCCGAGTTAGCAGTTTTCCCGTCAAAACTTTCACGTCTTTGTACGTGAGTTCCAGGCTTCCCTAAACAACTGATTTTGGTTGTGCCACAAGTAGGGGACATTCCCGTAAAGTTTCAGCTTCCTGGATTTCCTCGTTTCTGAGTTAGTGATTTTCCCGCCAAAATTTCCATGTGTCTGTACGTAGGCCCCGGGATGACCAGAGCAGCTGAATTTGGAATCTTTTAGTCATGCATGGGCAGGGAACATTCTCTAAGGCTTCAGCTTTCTAGCTTTTCTTGTCCCCGAGTTGGCAGTTTTCCCGCTAAAACTTTCACGTAGTCATATGCGGGGCCCTGACGTGCGTGAGGGTTGATGCCGCGATCCAGGTGTGGCACTTGGCTGGGGAGCACACTGGCAAAATTTCAGCTTCCAAGCTTGTGTGACTGGCGAGTTGAAACACCCGGGCAGACGAACACAAACACACATATACATACACACACACACACACACACACACACACACTCACTCACTGATAGGGTCGTTACAGTATGCGTTTTTGCTGTCTGTTGCAGCGCTGCAGCACTGTGGCAAAAACGCATACTGTAACGACATAAACGCATAAAAAATGTGTTCCAAACCAAACAATCCGTCCCCTCCCCTCCTTTCCCATCTCTCCCACACTCCTCCGCCTGTCCCTCAGGTTGCACTTTGCTACCGCCCATCGGCAGCAGAGGATGCAATGAAACAGCCGTCCCATCATACAGTGGGGCGGTTGTTGTTGTGCGATACGAAGCTGTAGCCCGCCCCATGCTTCCCGATGTTACACAAGATGTCGGACTGTATTGAACAAAAATCTTCCGGCGTTACTAGAACTCGGTGCGACTATGGCCCACCAATACAAGTAACCTGCGGCAGATGTTAAAGTACTGCATCCAGAAACGGTCGTTACTTGTATAATTGCGCGAGCACCGATGGAAAGTGTGCGTTACTCGGGCATTACTTGGATCAGTTGTCATTACACGGACTTCGGCGGCATGTTACCTGTAATCTGATTTTTTCGTGTAGGCAGAAACTCATGCTTATGAATTCCCACAGGAAGAACAAACATCCTCAGAAAAATACTACTTCCTGTTCCGTCTGGTTACCAAGTTAGTTGGATTCCAGCAGTGTCCCAAGCTAAATTCTCACTTGCGTGCACCCCCGACTCAGCCGTGCTTCAAAGCTGAATCTGAAATACTTAGGGTGACGTTAGCATCGAGTATCCTCTTAAATTTTCAATTTCCTAGTACGACTGGGAGGCAAAATCGTTTTTGCTGCAAATGTCTTTAACGTATCCTAATACAGGGGAGCTATAAAGCTCATTTTACGCCTGTGCGCTCATGTATGGGAAAAAATTTTTTTCTTTAATTTAGAGCACTTTAACTTAGTCGCCGAGTTGACACGCTGCTAGCCGTGTCAAAATTTCAACTTTGATATACCCGCACTTGTGATTAGGCATGTGTTAATGCTAAATTTGAGAATTTTAGCTCACACAAGAACAAGGAACTCCAGCTTCCTGTCTTGTCTGGTTTCAGAAATCGCTTTTCTGCCAAAAAACTTTTTTTTAGACATCCGTATGTTGAACCCCAGCGTACATGAATGATAATTTCAAAATGTGAGGGTCGCATATGGCGTGAGAATATGCTTCAAATTTTTTAGCTTACTAGTTTCTCTGATTGCCGAGTCAAAAGTGGTTGACAAAATGCGAACACACACAGAAAAGCTCTTGAGAAAATGTGTTTTCGCATTTGCATAAATATGCAAAAACAAACAAATGAATGGAATAAGAGTGCATCGACTTCCGTTTATTCCAGAATAATTTCGACGCATGTCTCGGGTTTAATAGTTCTTGCGCTTTTGCATGATCATCGTTCATGCTTTGAGCGTTACAGCCTGGCTTTGTTGCCAGCGACGTTGTTATGTTTTCCATAAATTAATTGGAAAATCAGTTTTTCCGATTATGGGCTTATGATGCCAAGCACGAAATCTGTTGCCAAATGAAAGTTGACAAGCACAACTTTACCAGTTTTCATCATCATCTCAGTTTTTTCTTAGCGCTGTGAATCCATAATAATCTATAATCACTATTCCTCCCTCCAAAAAACACCTAATTTCTTTCTTTCCTGCCTGCTCCTCTTGCAGCTGAAACCAGCATCTCCCCTCTCTCTCGACTCTCTCTTTTTTCCCCTTCATCCGCTTCTACTGCCATCCCGCCATTCAAATTGAAATTGAATTTGTGATTCAAATTCACGCATAGCCGGAAGCCAGAACAACTTTCAGGTTTCTTACAAATTACAGACGGATGCTTAAAATATCTCAAAATGGAAATCGTGGATACCTTCCCAGTTAGAGAATCAGGCGGGGTAAAAAGCTATAAGCATATACGGCGCTGGGAACACAAAATTAACTTCCACGCACGTGTATTTTACATGCGGGTAAGTCGGGGTGCAGCACTCAGATCTGCTGGCACCCTTGTATCCCATGGATCAAAAAATCTGGAATGCTGAAATTTTGCATTTACACGGCTGTTTTTGTATTCAAAGATAGTAATCCAGCTTTTGCAGCCTCTTATTTCTCACATAGGTACAGGCACGTCTGGTTTGAAAATTCTTAACTTCTTCAACCAAGCAGCCAGATAACATAGAAAGGTCATGGGGACACCCCTTTATCAGGCGAGGATCTAGAAACGCGGATTTGACTATTATGTGCGCCTAAATGTTGGGTACACGTGAAATTAAAAACTGGAAAATTATAATAGGCATCTCTCTTCACAAATATTTTGCATTTTATAGCGAGCGGTCTCAGTATTGTGTTTAACAGATTTACTGGAGTTGCAAATTTTTTTTTTAAACGCAGGTCTGTATGAACATCGCGCTGAAGCATTCGAAAGCTGTTGATTTTCCAAAAACTGGAATCCCACCCGATCCACTAACAAGGACCTGGACAAAGGACGAAAATGAGAAGGTTATTCCGCCAGAAAGGGCATGCCGATGGCCGGATTTTATGTGCAAAAACCACGAGCCAAGTTATGTTTCGCCACGTTTGGTTGGCCAGTTATTCAGGTCTGTTTGATGTCTGAAGTTCATAAACTCCAAAAAAAATTATTGACTTTGCATTTCGTCTTTTTACCTTGATTTCATTCACTGTCTTCATCGGCAGCCTTGTTTTGCATCTGTGTGTTACGGCTTTAAGCGTATTACTGGGGGAGCAGGGCCGGCCTTTCCGGCCGCACAGTCTGAAAGTGTTATCAGTGCTGCAGTTTTTGCAAGAGAAAGCAAAGTTTGTTTGGACATAGTGCTTGCTTTGTTGGCAGTGGCTGAACGATGCTTGTAACTGACGTCTGCACGACAGAAAACAGACGCTTCGGAACCTTTTGGAGAAAGTAACTTCTGGGATAGATCGCTTACAGTAGGAGGTCTTGCGTAGATGTGTGGATGTGTAGTTACATTTCCGCAGTTCGGAAGAGTTCAGTATGATGGCCCTAACGATCTTGGTACAGCCAGAAGAAAAAAATCATGCAGTTAAGTGGGCGAAAAGCCATACTATGTCCGAAAATGTGTCACAGTAGGTGAAGGCAGTTTCTTCAGGAAAGCTGAACGAATCGGTGCAGCTGTTAAATACACGATGAAAATTTGTGATTGTGAATACTAACACATTGAAATGAAGATAATGCAGAGTTGCGGTATATAGGCAATGAATTCAGAGATAGACGCCCCAGAGCCATTCTAGAGTTACGCCAAAACGCAGAAGGACGCACCACATTTAGGCTGCAGATCAGATGACCTTCGAAGAGCACCAAGCTTTGAGCATGCACTTCATAACTTCCTCTCTAAGCTTTTGCGGCGACCCGTCTACTGTTTTCCGTTTTCAGCTGTTGACTTGTTACTGTGAACTGAGAAATCGATTAAATGGCGCATATTTCTACTCAGCGAGCGATCTGAACTATTTTTTTTTCAGGCGCGTGCACTTGCTAGTTGATGTTTTTAATCATGTTGGTGCAGTGGAGGATGCATCACCATTGGATTTGGATCCTGATCTCGAATATCCAGGCTGGGAAGACTACCGCATCGCGGCACAAACTCAGTTTGACTGCTACCACGCTCATATTAAAGTTCGCTTTAAAAAGGCTTGCCATTCTGAATGAAAATTAGCGGCATCATTATGTCAAATTGGGCTTCTTTTATCGGTTTTTGTGAAGTCTTCTAAATGACGAAATTTGATTCTTACTGAGTAGTGGGTGTGAAACACACTCTTATAAATAGCGACGCACCAGGGTAGCTGGTGTGATCATGCGTTTTTTATGCGTTTTTGCTGTGCAGCGCTATAGCAGCGCTATAGCGCTGCTACAGCC